CCCTCAAACTTGCATTACTGTACAGTATACGGTATTTAAAAATAGGAACCAAAAAATTATATTTAACATTTTGTTGCCTTCAAAATACCTAACAATTGTATTGTTTAATTATAAGGATTATTATTTTAAATTAATCATTAAAATTATTTATTAATTGCTATCAAATAATGAATTAAAAATAATTATTCATCAAAAAATCATAATAAAAATAATTTATTTTAATTTTTATTAAAAAATAATATTATAAATATTGATTATCAAAAATAAATATCAAATATCAAAACCAATTATACTGTAGTAATTAAAATTAATCAATATTTGATATTTTTTTAAAAAAATTACTTAAACATACAGTTAAACCTATTTATACCAATACAAGTGGCATGAGCAAATTATATCAGTATAATCAAATATTGGTATTAATAGAATTTAGTATACAATAATGATCATTAATTGTTCAATTAAATCACTGTATTCTAACAAAACTGACAGATCTGCCAAAATAAGCAAGCACATGTTTATCCATATTCTTTCTATCACCCCCATATTAAACTACCATACTTTCATTTGTCATATCTTTGCTTCCTTCTATTAATTATAATGAACCTCTCAGCCTTAATGTATCAATAATGAAGTTTTAAATGTTTGATTATGGTTTGGTCATAAGATCAAATTTCATAAATGCTTTCTCGTTAGTGTAGCGTATCTTCTCACTTGTCATTGTCAAATTCTCCATTGGTGTAATAACTTTTTGTTTCTCTTCTTTAGGATTATCTACTATTGGTTCCCTTTTTCTTCCTGATAGTGATAGCAATTCCTCTAATCACAATATATCAGTAGTGGGATTTAGATTGATCAATCGAACAGTGATGATGGAATTGGTCTAGTAAATAGTTTGTCCATTATATAATTTTCCTTCTCATTTTTTCCCACTTTTTCTATTTCCTTTTCTATAATCCCTTTCTGTTCTTATTCTGTACTAACTAAAAATGACTACTTTTCTACTTGATGTAGGTGTGTGTTAAAATTCCAAGTGTTTAATTAATAATTGTTACAGGATTCCAGATTTCCATCCACATGGCGTCATCAGTTCTTTCTTCGATATAATCTTATTTTATACTTTTGTCAGTGCAGTCTTATCTTGTTCCTTTATTAACTTCAGGTTTATTTCATATAGCCCAAATCCTATATTTTTTTTAATCTGTTTCATTTTATCTAACATAGCATAATTTCCAATAGTAAGTATTGCTATAATTTTTTTTTCAATTCCTTTACAAATAACTTAATTCTGCTCTCAAATGTATCATTGTTGAAGTTAGCTCTCCTTAGTAAATCTTGAAACTCCCAGGCATATTCTAATATCTTTTCACTCCTTTTTATTTTAGGTTTTCTAACTCCAATTGTTACTGTCGTCATTGTTCAGATGTTACAAAGAACCGAAAAAAACTTGGCATGAAGTTTTTCTTATATTTGCACCTATTGTTTCAATAGCTGAAACAATTTTAGCAGACTTTATACAGTCTGCCACATGTCTCTCCAAGTAATAAAGTACTTAATTTAATTTTTTATTGCTCATATCATTTGTTTTTGCAACCACTCCAGCTACAAATAAATCTTTCCCCCTTTTTTTCCTAAATTTGCAGATCTTAATTTATCATGCTCCTTTTCACTGTCTATGTATTTTGGATTACAATATTGACAAGAATTTTCACTAGTTTCTGTAACATGTCTTGTGAATAATGATGAATTTGCACTACTTGTTTGTCATCTATGTATTGCTTCTGCTATAATTATAATCTGAATCTAACATTACTAACTGTAATCACAGGTTTTTCATAATCTTTAAGAGTGTAATTTAAGATTTTGTTTATTGATTACTACTTTTAATTAATGTGTTATGTATTTTTATGAAAGAGTAAATGAATATCATTCTTGTATGAATCTTACAGTTTATTATCAAATATTACAGAGTATTCAGTGAGTTAGTTGCCACTGCACAATATTTTTCATATAATATAATGTTGGAAAATAACAAGGTAAGTTTCTTTACTCTTGATAGATATCTTCGATTTGATCAGATGACTTATATATGTTAGGTCTGTTTACATGCTAATTACTTTTGTCATATGTTTACATATATTATTTGTCACATACATATATCATTTGCCACATGTTTACATATATCATTTGCCACATGTTTACATATATTATTCTTATATGCAAACCTATCAGAAAAAAGTTTTATATTTACAAGAGATAAAATTTGATCTAAGAATTATTAGATTTTTTACTTATAAAATTATTATTAATATTATAGACTTACTAATTTTAATGGTTTATTCAAGATTATACAGTATAACAAAAATTCATCCTTTGTATTATTGATTTAAGAAAGTAACAAATTCGTTTAATTATATTTATTTATTTTATTATATATGTAAAAACAAAAATAAAAGAAAAAAAAATTAAGTAATTGCTATTCTAATTATAATTAATAAATTTTAATTAATAATTAATAAAACTATCAATTTAGAATTGTTTTTATTTTGATAAATAATATATTCATAAAGATCTTTGTATTTTAGGAATTACTAGTAATATTGTAATATCAAAAGTAAAATCTTTTGAAGAATTTACTAAAAATTCGACTGTATTATTAATACCCTCTAATGCTTTTGTTACTGGAATAATAGAATAAGTTATTTCTTCAGATTCTTTTTTCAGAAGACATACTGTTGCTACTATTTCTTCATCTGTTAAACCTTCAACTATTATATTATTGACAATATTAATAAATTTTTCTGCTGTCATCGAATTTTCTAAGTCTAATTTATCAATTAATTTCTAAATATTTTTAGTTTCTGTTTTGGTTAATAATATATTTGATTTTTCTATTTTTATAGATAATTCATATACCTTAATTCTATTTTTTATTAATAATTGCTGATATTGTACCTAATAAATAAATTACCTTGAAGGAATATATAATTTCCATGTCACATGGTTGCAAATGTGCCATCATATTAGGAGGTAAATAGCAAAGTTGAATATTTGTTAAATTTTTAATATTTGAAATCATATATGTTGATGCATTATCCATTAAAAGAAGAATTTTACAGTTTTGATTTTTCATTAAATTATTAAAATTTTTGAGATAATCAATAAAAATACTTGTTTGCATCCAAGTCACAGAATTTCAATAGTATTCAATTGGTAAAAGACTCTTATCAATTTTACGAAGTGAATGAGGTATTTTGTATTTATGAATAAATACTAAAGGAAGTTTCTCAGTTCCTATTGCATTATATATTAATAGAATAGTTACACGATTTTTTGATTTTTGGTGCCTATTGGTATTTTTGTTGCTAAAGTTCAATTAGGTTTTAATTGCCAATACAATCCTATAATAATATTAATTATAATTATAAGTAGAAATAAATAAATAAATAATAAAATAATAATAAATACTTATCGGTTTTGTCACAATTGAATACATCTTGATAATTATAATTTTTTATTATATTATATAACTTTATTTGTTCTTTTTCAAGTATCTCTAAGGATGCGCTGTTACCTTCACCAGATATTAAATATGATCATATATTATGTTGAGATTTAAAGCCAGAAATCCAATCAGCTGACCCACAAAAATTTTCTATATTAAACAAATTAGCAAAATCCTTTGCTTTTTGTTTAAGAATATCAATAGTAATAATAAGATTATTTTTAACTATTTGATTAAGCCAAATAATTAATGCTGATTCAATTTGAGGATAAGATGCTGGACAGTCTTTTTTTTTTTTTAGATGAAAATGCAGTATAGTCAATAGAAAGTCATTTGTCTTTATTATGCCAAATATTTGAAATTGTATTTTGTGCAACTTCATATTTCTCAGCTATAGTAACTTGTTTGATTGAAGGTTTTTGTATTAACATTAAACATATTTCTTTTTTTTGAATTGCTGTTAACGAACCTTTTTGTTTTTTTCGTTTCATATTTAATTATAATGAAAAATAGATTGATAATAATTGTATTTAAATATTATTCGTTAGATATTTGTTACACAAAAATATTGGTATAAATTTTTTATAATTAATAATAAATGAATTTAAAATTTATATCGATATAGCTAATAAAAAGATTTATTATAATTTATCGTTATAAATAAATTAATTGAATTGAATTGAATTGGGTACCCAAATTTTTATCGGTATAACAAAATATCGGTATAAATAGATTAAACTGTACCGTACGAATTTTACCTGAAAAGTCAACGAATGAAAAATTATTTTAAAAAAAATGTTACCAAATAAAACGAAGGTCAAAACAACGTGCCGTATTTAAAAAAAAGTTTTAATTTTTTTTTAAAATTTGTCGAAGCGAATTAACTAAATATATATTATTTAAATAATATAAGAATACATTATTTGATGTTTTCATAAAATTAAAATAATAGTAAAAAATATCAATATTAGGCAGCGTTAAACTTGTTAAACTTACAGGTATGATGGTATCATGTATAAGATGTTTGATGTAATTTATAAGGACCATTAAAAAAAAAATTTCAAATATCACGGCGTGATATTTTATGACATCATCGAATTATTTTTTGGGTTATGTCATACGTGTCTTTATTAAGTGCATTATTAAATGCATAATAAAAACTTACGTAATAAGGAGATTATCGTCTCCGAGTGGCGTCATGGATACACACTCAATCGTTTCTCCTTTGCATCAACAGTTTATATCTTGGTTAGAATAAAATAATAAATATATTGGAAAAAAACGTGTCTGTAATACGAAACGTTTGATAATATACTAAACAAAAAAACATACAAAGTATGAAACATGGAATTCATCAAATCCTTAAACGCAAACATACAGATACGTTTTAAAATGTCGAAAAATTTTGTTTAATTAAAAGTTACAGTACATCGACAGCAAGTACTCATATTGAGTGGCCAGACATTATTACGTTACACTCAAGTCTCGATTACACTCACATGTAATCCAGTCTATTAATAATCATAGTTAACAAACCTTCCACATTGGTGCACCCATTATTCTTTGCCTTCAATAGCCAATAAATCGCTTTACCCAAATTCTCACCTGTTCCCATACCATTTAAATAACACAGCCCCACTTGATGTTGTCCCAGCTCAAACCCAAATTCAGCCGACTTCAAGAAATATTGGAAAGCAAGATGATCATTTTGTTCGGTGCCAAACCCATAGATATGACAATAGCCAACATTAAATGTACTCTCTGGATATTCTTTGGATGCAGATCTTGAGAAATATTCAAGAGATTTTGCATAACGCTTTGACGATTCTGCTTCTCTCTCGCTTGTGCGATCTACAGATGCTATAGCCATATCCGCATTTATTTTGTTCAAGTCTATCTCATCTATGCCCTCATCTAACCCGTTCGTACTTACACCCAGATCACTAATGTCAGTACCTAACTCACCAATGTCCTCCGTGTCTATCTCATTTACAGGTATTACAATATTCAGATAACAATCACCCACATAATTCTGTGCCACCAAATTACCCATATCAGCGGCTTTCACTATCAATTCTAGACCCCTCTTCTCATCTCTTGTGGTACCAGATCCCTCCATATAATAATGTCCAAGATTAAATAAACCAATGGGATTCTCCTTTTCAGCAGGCGACATAATTAGTTCAAATGCTTTCTTAGTGTCCTTTTTCACCCCATTGCCAAAGTGATAACAATCAGCTACCCATGTTTCAGCCAACACCGACTTTTCAGAAGCGAGTTTGGTAAAAATCTGGAAACCAAGATATTTGTTTTCCGAAACGTAACAACCATTTTGATACATTAATGCAAGTGAGACTTGACTTATAAAATAATTTTGTTGAATTATGAAGTAGCTACCACCTGGCGATTGTTCTTTGAATTTGTCGTTTTTGCATTTGATTTTTAATTTAGCGTTGTTGTCAAGAATCATCTTAAGATTCTCAGAATACGAGTAATACTCGAATGCCATCTGATGATCAATCACCGAGCCAATTCCGAATTCATAACAAAAACCAATCAGGCCAGAAATGTATAATAAGTTGTGCTTCGATTGACGAAGTAGTTTGTAGAATACTTTAATGGGATTTGCCGAGTGTTGTTTAAGATAATGGTTAACTTCCAAGGCCACATATTTCGGTAGTTCTTGGAGGTTACATTGAGAGATGAAAAAGTATAATAAATCTTGTAGGAAATGGTCCTTCAAAAAGTCATGTGGAATGTCTTGCGGAATGTTAAAATCATTTAAAGAAACTCGTTTTTTTACAGCGGACTTTCTAGAAAATGAACAAGCAATCGAAAATTTAGGGTTTAAATCTTGTCCATTCATCTTGAAAAGATCAATTATAAAGAGAGAAATTTATACAAAAACGTATTTGCATCAAACGCATATAACATCTACTAATATGTACAGATCAACAGATCATCAGATCATTACGAGGTTAATCACATGTGTCACATGTGTCATATCAAATTTCTCTTTCTATCCAATCAGAATCTTTTACATAGAACAAGCACCAACTTCTATAGAATCTCCTTTTTTATTGTGTCGTGATTCTAACACAATAATCAAATCCTAAGCTTGACTTGAAATCAAAATGTTATAATCAAAGCTTGTTCATAGTATGATGACTACGATGTGATCAAACAATCGAAAACAATCAAAATCCTCTCTTGTTTCAAGTTATGAATCATTTTTTTGTCTCTTCAGAAATCGCCGATTTTTTGATTTTTTTTTTTAGCTTACAATGACTTAAATGAATTGAACATGTAAGGACTTGGTGGTTCCAATTAAGCATCTTCAAAAAAATTAAGTGTCACTTGCTTTTATTATGATACCATTCGCATGGTCCAGTTATTATCTGTGAAAATGATCACCGTTAAGAAAGAGAAGAAATAAATGGATAACAAAAAACTCTCGAATTAGAACTAACCCTCAGGCATCTCAGCATCATCAGAATTTTTCCAGTCATACGTTGAACGAGTAATAGGAACTGGTGGTAACTTGTTGGCACTATATAATGGCGGTACAAATGCAATTGCTTCGGTCAGGGTGATATTCTCGGGAATAGTGGTTATCTGGGTTGATTCGCTGGATTCCTGTTCCCCGGCCGTGATGCTAAAAGTAAATTTGAAATGAATTAGCCAGACATTCATCCATCCATCTACATGTTCAACCAATCAACAATTTACCTTTTTAAATGAGAAGCCGTGATTAATCCGGCAACATCTTGTTGAGTATAAACGGCTAAACGTGGATAGTTTCGTCGGGCGTCTCGGTTAAAGTAATAATTCTGAGCCAAATCTGAATGTTTGGTTAATGGTCGAACATAATCCCTTGGTTGAGATCTTTTTATAAAAAAACGAAGAGATGTTAAAAAAGAAAAGAAATAAATTACATCTCATGACAAATTGATTAAATCTACCCAGGGGCTGGAGTACGATATATCCCCGTTAAGGGAACACCCGTGTTTGTTTCTGGATTCTGTAATCAGAAATAGTCAGTTCTATGATTTATGTGTTTTTTTACTCTTTTTCATATTTTCTCCAGAATAGTCCACAGACTACTTACCACTGTTAAAAGCTGACGAATTTTCTCGTAAAACTTATTAAATGAACCTCGGGTATAGGAAGCCATGATGTATGTATGCAAGTAGTATAAAAGTCGGTGAACAGCCTTTTATATATTTTTTTTTACTGTGTCACAGTGGTACATATACATTCATCACCAAATAAAATGTATACGCTTATGGTATCATACCGCTTGCTTTTTTTTTTCTTGACAGCTACGTACTCACGTACTTATTCCGGAATTTGGCGTCTTTTACAATATCTTTGTATATACACAGTGTGCAAATAGGTTCTTTCTTTTCTTTTTTTTTCAACCACCACACCGAAATCTTTCTTTGTTTGGAAAACTTCCACCGTTAGATTTTTGAATTGGTTACTACTCTTGTTCAGTTGTTGCCGTGTCCACGTCTTTAAGATCGAATTCAAAGATCAACATTTTAATATATACTTACTTTTTAACACAATTTATTTAAAGAAACAGTTTGTTAAGGCATATTGGTTTATTGTGTTTGCACTTTATGCTTGTTTCATTTTCAATTCACTTTCGCCTAAATAGAACTGAGTATAAAATTTTTTTTGAAGGAGATCGAATTATAAAAATTGGTAACTATTGTATCCAACGCTCCGACAAATTATCCTACTTTATACGGTTTGACTAATTGCCTATCACGTTCTTTTATTCATTGTTATGCATAAAGATTACGTTGAATCGAGTGAATGCACCTGAATTTTGATTAAGTTTCTTCGCATTTGAATAAAAAATGGTGCATTCGTTTCCAAGGGAATGCCTCGAAGAGGTTTTCCATATACTGGATAATGACAAATTCACCTTATTCGCATGTCTTCAGGTGAACCGATTCTGGTGTAGAAGCGCTGTTTCATTCTTGTGGAGACATCCTTTTCAACTTGTCAAGAAACCTTCACCCGAATTAATAGACATGTACATATCGATGTTCAGTCAACAAGTCTGCCGTCAACTGATCAGTGAGGGTATTAACGTACCCACAAGTTCACCAACGAGATTATTCAATTATCCAAGCTTCCTTCGGGCGTTTAGATTTGATGATTTGTATGAATCAACATCAGCTTGGTTACAAGAAGGTTATGACAAAGGGTCACAACACAAGAGAGAATCCGAGGTCTTTGACGACCTCCGCGTTATCAAAATTCTGGTGAATGAGCTTATCAAATTGTTTCTCAGCAAATCTCCAGTAATCTACTCCCTATCACTCAACACTCAACGTCTCGTCGGCCTAATCGATCGAAGATTTTGGTCTCATCATCCCGGTGATATACAATATACGCCCACAAGTTTTGAAGACTTTCGTGGGGCGTATGGATTCGATGATTTGTTGCAATTACCTTCGTACGTCGGCGCGGTAAATTGCTTACCTTACCTGCAGAAGTTTGAATACGGGGGTGATGCAACCGATGGAAAGGTCGTGCAGGCGTTGTCGGAGATCTGTAAAAATCTTGATACCTTGGAAATAAGTTTTTCATCATGGCAAAGAAAACATGCTGATCCAATCATGATGCTATGTTTATTGCGAGCACAACACGCTTTGAAACGTATTGTGCTTCGACGTGGCGGATCAAATTGTTTGTCAATATTGATAGGAGGATTAGAAAGTCAGGCCAATTCGTTGAGATACCTGGAATTCAATGGTGCCGATTTTCGCGGATCCATCTCGCTCAAGGCTGTATCATGTTGTGTAAACCTGGAATCATTAATTTTTGATCGATGTTTGGGTTTATCCGATGAAATAGTTGAGCCTTTATCAACCGCGACCTTCTGTCGTCTGAATAAGTTTGTTTTCCGAAAGAGTATCGCGTTCCGAGATTTGAGAAATATTCTGGGACCGAACATGCACCCACCCATAATTCCACCACCACCAGCTTTTGTACCCGCACCTTCATTTTCCACGAACCCACCGAGAAATCAAAGTCCACCAAATATCGCTCATCCGCTTGCCATAATGATACAAAATACACGTGGAAGTTTGGAAGACATCAGGATGGGCTGGAAAGTTTGGAATATGAGACGACCATTAAACTTGACGCCGCATGCTGCAGGTGATTTTCCACCACCGTCAGTTCTCTCAACACTATCAATTTATTGTCCGCGGTTGATGATACTCGAAGCTCACATAAGCAGGGAAACGTTGCCGCATTTTCTGGTGTTGTTGGAAAATTGTTTTCATCTAGAACAATTATGTATTTCGGTCGGAACTGAATTGATGGATGATGAATCATTTTGGACGGACATGGCTAAGTTGCTGCCGATGAAATTGCGAAATCTATTGATCGTAATTGAAGGGACTTTTTGGTTGATGGTGTTACATTGGCTATTGGGTAATTGCAGGGCGCCACTGAAAATATTACAATTTCCAAGGAGTATTTGTATTGACGATGAATATCTTTGCATAATTACTCAATATGCAAAGAGAATGGGAACGTTGAAAAGGCTAGCGTTGGCAAAGAGGACAAAGATCTCATCGGAGGGTTTAAGAAAAGCTTTGATTGTATTTGAGAGTGTTACAAGGATCGGCGAGTGGAACGAGGATGAAGATAATTTGCGATGATCATTTGATCAAGGACTTGGGAGACAATGGGTAAGGTTCTTTTCGGTTGTTGCTATATTGACGTAGCGATGATTGTACATCAAACTGATTTCACTATTTATGCTCTGTTTCTATCGCAGTCAATACTAATCATATTGAATTTTTTTTAATATGAGAGATTCCCTTTCCTGTAATTATTTATTATCGGTGACAGTGAAATTTTCAATCACGTTACATAATTCTTGTGAACAATTTGCACATACAAACATTTGTCTTTAATGTCATTTGGTTCATTAGAATTATTCCTTAGAAGGAAGATTATTTATTATTCCTATTTACATTTTTGTTCCTCCACTACGTAAGATGGCTTCATAAATTTTAATTTTTCTAAAGTTATTGATGTCCCTACCTAATGAATGCAATGCGATTATATAACTTTGATTAAATATTTAGATGATTCAATGTAGATTATTGAGTGAATATATTTTAATTTCTAATTATAGCATTTAAGATCAAATTTCTGATTTATTATAAAATTTAATAATTCTTTCAAGTATTTCTACCTACAGTATAACATCTTAAACTCACATACATTACAACACCATGTTACTTTTTAACTTCTATTTCTGTTTCGTTTATGTTTGGAATTAAAACGCGTTGCCTGAAACTCGGTATACTGTAAATACACCCTCTAATTTAATGTCATTAAGTTAATTAAAAATTCTTAGTATAGTTTTTTTTTTATTTTTAAATAAATTATTGTAACGTTATTAATTTACTAAAATTTTAATTTGTTTTTTTTTTTATAAATCTTGATAAAAAATAATTTCAAGAATAGCGAAAACCAATTTTGTAATTTAATACAAAATATATTATATCATATAAACTATTCTGTAAATTCAATCACTCATCTTAGATATATATTTTGAGTGTGATTTTGAAGATAAAAACTGTTGTTTTCTTAAACTTCTATTTTATTTATAAAATTAAAAATTAAAATTATTATTTTTTTTTATCCATTTTCAAGAAGTTTATTGAATCTTTATTCTAATTCCAATAATTTCTTTTCAATTTTCAATTTTTTTTTTTATTTTAAACTCATTTTTCTCTTGTAATTTCATATATTTGATTTTGCTAAAGTTTAAAGTATCTATTGTCATATATATTTTTTAAAAAACTTGCTTATAAAATAATTTTATTAATTTCTATAACAAAAGTTTGAATTTATTAAAATTAAGATCTATTTTATATTATTTTTATTTTAAATAAAGTCTAAATAAATATCTATAGTCTTTTAAACAAAAATTGGTTTTGTATTATTTTTAATATCTTTTTCTTTTAATTGTTTTTTCTTTTGATTGTTTTTTCTTTTGATTGTTTATTAAGTGTTTATTAATAAATTGTTTTTATATTTTGTTTTTATAAAATTTAAATAAAAAATCAAGATATTCTAATATACTAAAATTTAATTTAAAATTTTTTAATTAAAACAATTGCCATTATAGTTTTATAAATTCAATTGGTATAATTAAAACTCAAATAATAAAAATTTTATTAATAATTATATTGACTTGATTATTTATAGATAAAGATTAGTTATTATTTATAAACTATTATAACCTATTTTTTTTTTTAGAATTCAAATATATCTAATTACAAAATATATATTATAAAAATCCAATTAATTATATAAAAATAAAATTTTTGATTTTCAATAATTATAAAGTTATAACAAATTGTTAAGAAAAAATTGTAAAAAACAAACTTTTAATTTATAACTATTGTTACAGGAAAATGACGATCGATGATATGACTTAGAAATTGAGAAAATAACGATCACGCATTATAGAGGTTGCCAAAACGGGTAATCGACCCTCAACCTTGTTATTTCTTTTATTTTTTTTATTTTTTTTATTTCTTTTGTTTCTTTTATTTTCTTTTGCCATAAGAAAAAGTATAAAAATAATGTAAGGAAATATAGTAAAAGAGAAGCGGAAAAATTAATTAATAAAAGAGTATTAAAATTGACCTACTTATCGCACTGTTCTGTTCAATAAAATCTCTCCAAATCATATAAACTCACCAAATCTATATCTCTTTCTGCCTTTAATCCCCCCTCTGTTATAACAGATACCCCTGTCAAAGTGTCGCGAAGTCTAGGATTTTGCCATTACTGCTGATAGACCCCTGACTCACAATAGAATTGGTGGTAAACCATGATATGATATTTGTTTTTTTCCTCTGATTTTTTTCACCAAATGAAATTTCAGAGAAAAGGAGAAGAAAAAATATAAGTAATCGAAAAGGTATAAATGAGATGGATACAGAACAATTGGAACAGCTCCTGACAAATCTTGCCCAGTCATTTGAAACTGCAACCACCAATATCCTTAATGAAAACCGAGGAAAAATGCTGGAGACGAACCATTTGCCAGTTAAATACTTTGCCAGAAAAGAAGATAAAGATCCTGTTGAATGGATGGAAAAATTTGAATGAATTGCAATAGCTAACAATTGAACAAATAAACGAAAACTTCGAATTGCACCTGGGTATTTAACTAATCTAGCTGCCAATTGGTATCACAAGAACAAAGAAGATATCAAACAATGGCATGACGATAATGATATGCAACATAGTTTTTATTACGCGATGATCAGTTTTTTTTCCACACCTGAAAAAAGACATCGATGACAACAAGAATTATATGAACTGGTCCAACAAGACAACAAATAAGTTGATACCTATGCCATCAAGTTTAAGCGACTCCTATCTTGAGTAGACCCTGAAGAAAGAATCCCTGGGGACTATGTGATAAGCATGTTCCTGAAAGGCCTCAAGAATAATACTGCCACCTATGTCGCAAGTACCACTCTGATAACATTAACGGAAGCAATTACAGTTGCCCAAAGAGTTGAAGCAGGAAATTACTACAGACAACAAAAAAATAAGGCAACAGAAAGTTATACAGACCAAATATGTGAAGAAATGAAAGGTTTGATAAAGCAAATACAAGAAATGTCTCTGAATTATGCCGTACTAGCTGCTCAAAATGTATCTAGAAAAAATACTTCCCCAGATCAGAGAAATGCACCAAGAATTGTAAGATGTTACCACTATGAAAGGGAAGGACACTACTTCCGTGAATACTCCGAAAATGCATCATCAGTATCAGTAGCACTTATAGCCGAGAATCCTACACCAAATGTTTACTATTGTGAATAGCAATCAGAAGAAGAAGGTGACATGGACGCTTACGTTGTGGAAGGCATTATACCCACTAGAAGAGAGAGGCCTAAGCACAAGCCGGAGAGTAACTTGAGTGAATCGAATCGTGTACTCAAGATTAGGAGAGCTGTTAACCGGTAAAACCAATAGGAATGAATACTTAACCTATAGAAGAGGAGTCACTGGTGAAAAAAGTGAGAAGGAAAAGAGAGCCATCAGTAATTAATTCCCTAGACTCTTATAATGTAGCAGACGATATCTTAGCTTTACCTGTCACTGTGACAATAAGACAAATGTTACAGTATCCGAAGTAGCAATGAAACTTAGCAAAGCTCTTATGATGATCTGCAGCTATGTCTGAAACTCATCACATATGACTCGCTAATACCTGCAGAACCACTACCACGAAATGTTATGCAAAAATTGAGAGAAAACCGATTATAGCTGTATTAGATTCAGGTGCCACTGTGAGTATTATTTAAGGATCCTAATGATTCTCTTCGATTCTGTATTTGATTCTCAAGTTTATATTAAATTTAATAGGTGGGATATACCCCACTATCATTTTTAATAATGTTCTGAATCTCATGTAATTCTGTTCGATTCTATTCGATTCCAATTTTCGGAACCATAGTATTATTACAAAAAAACTTTTAGATCATCTGCAAATGCGAATTGAGAAGAAATCTACAACTACCATCATTACGGCCAATGGAACTAGAGAAAAGACTCTAGGAAAGATTAGAAACATTAACATTATGGTTAAAAGGATTACTATTTTAATGACCTTCCAAGTTATCAAATCCAGAAATGAAACCCTTTTGTTGGGAACAGATTGGTTCCAGAAGACAAATGCAAGGATTTATTTCGATGAACAGAAATTATATCTTAAGTATAAAGGCCAATCCACAGAAATCCTGATTTCACACAATGACGTGACTTTTTTGCAGACACCAGAAGAGACAGATATAAGTGACAAAGATTCTGACACATGCGATAAATTCGAGTACGAAAGTGAAGAATTAAAAGAAAAGAAAGGGTACTATATGGAAGAACAGTCGGATGGAGAACTGTATAAGAACCCATGGGAAAACATGCAGAGTCCAGCAATATATATGACAACCCTTGAGAAGGTACCTATCTGTGATGAAGACCATGACAAATATTGAAACAACGAAGAAACTCCGAAGCAGAACATTGATATCTGCCTAATGAAGGAAGAACAAAAAGAAGCCATGAAATTCTTTGAAAAAGAAAAGAATCTTTTTGTAAAGGATATCACGGAGTTAACTCAAACTAATGTCATTCACCATGTTATTGACACAGGGGATATGAAACCGATTAAGTATGTCCCCTATTGAATGGTGCCAGACAAACATGATTACGTTCGAGAAGAATTAAAGAAGATGAAAGAACAAGGCCTAATATAGGAATTCATTAGCTCTTGATTCTCCCCTATAGTTATCGTATTAAAAAAGAACAGAGCAAAACGACTATGCGTCGATTACAAGAAATTGAATGTAGTAACAAAGAAGGATGCATACCCATTACCATGAATTGACGACCTACTAGAAACATTGGAACAAGTTAACTGGTTCTCTAATCTAGATCTCACCAGTAGATATTGGCAAGTACAAGTACATAAAGATGACCGTGAGAAAACTATGTTTGTAATAAAATTTGGCATCTACGAGTTTAAGATTATGCCATTCAGGTTATGTAATGCACCGGCCACTTTTCAATAGCTTATGAACATGGTTTTACATGAGTGTATAGGATGATTTGTCATCATATATCTAGATAACATTATTGTCTACTCACATACTTATGAAGAACATCTGGAGCATTTATCACAAGTTTTTAAAGAACTAAGGAAAATCTCGCTGAAACTGAACTCTGAGAAGTGTAATTTCTTCTTATCAAATTTGGGATTTCTAGGTCATATCGTAGGAAGGGATGGCATCCAACTGAATTTAAAGAACATAGAAAAAGTAAAATTTCCCGACTCCTGAAATTTAAAACAGTTAAGAGGATTTATAGGACTTGCCTCGTATTATCGGAAGTTTATAAAGAATTTCTTTAGCATTGCGAAATCTCTACACCAACTATTAGAAAAGGATGTACTGTACAAATAGGAATAAGACCAACAAAATGCTTTCGAAATTTTGAAAAGACACTTGATTTCAGCTTATATCCTCAAATATCCCAACTTTGATCAAACGTTTTACTTACATATGGATAAAGATGGGTCCCTAAATTAAAGATGAAGACATAATTCAAATGTCCCTCACTATTAAAAAAGTTTTTTTTTTAATATAAGATCAAAAAAAAACCATCTATAAAGGTTTTTTGCAATTTAGGTCACTTGATTCAAGTGTTTTTTGAATTATGTTCCTATTAAAGTAATAAATAAATAATTATGTTCCTTTAAAAGGGACATAATTGATCTGCGAAATTTTATATGCTAAATAGTTTAGGGACCCATCCTTACATACGGATGCCTCGGAAACAGGATTGGGTACTATATTGTTACAAATTGATAACAAAAAAAATGAATATGTAGTCATATACGCAAGCCGAGAGTTGACTAGACCTGAGCAAAACTATATAGCAACAGAATTAGAATACTTAGCAGTAATTTGGGGAGTTGAATATTTCCATCATTACCTCGGCATGAAACTCTTCATAGTGGTCATGGATCACTCTGTGCTAAAGTGACTCAAAACATTTAAACTAAAGGGATGAAAAGCATGATGAATTCTGCAACTTCAACCATATAACTATACGATTATACATCATGCTGGTAAGAAACATATCAATGTGGATGCATTATCTTGAGCAAAAAAAGGAAATGAGAAATGTGGTGACAACAACGTAATTAAAAGTATTATGGAGAAACAAGTAACAATCATTCCAGGCCCTATTGCCCACTAATCGATTCAAAAAAAAAAAAAAGAAAAAAAGAAAATTCTGAGAAACAGAATCCAGTTCAGATACTGGTATCCTGGCATGAGAAAAAAAAAACCATGGAATTTGATAACTATCGACAACTGCTTAATTACCTACGGAAACAACAACTACCTATGAATACCACACCACAACTGACACAATGATTACAGGTGCAAAGTAATTTTTTTGTACAAAAGAACGAATTATTATACAAGAAGAACAAACACCAACAAGGTTGACTATTACAAGTATTACAATAACAACAACATTATACAAAGACTCAATAAAAACTTATCAAATCAAGACTAAATTCCTATAAATCTTCCATACTACTAAAAAAAATATTCCCACCTGCTCTAACTTAGCTGTTTATGGATAGGCATAAGCCATTCATGGACCACTTTTGGTATGGCACCACTTACTTAGTGTAATG